TTGATTTGGACAAGTCACCTTAACAATATTATAAAAAAATATTGCTTTTTGATTCTTTTTTTCCATTGCTGACATCACTGTGCGGCGCGGCGATTCGAAAGGATCGCGGGGGTAGATCCGTGCTTCCGATCTTCACGCACGTCTGGCCAAGATAGCGGGGAACGCAGCATGCATCATCGCTCTTCCCCTCCTAAGATTCCGATCTATCATTGAATGTTTGCGGGGGGTTCGAGCAAATACATTGAATTTATTTATTATACGGCCGGGCCGCCTCTAGAAGCCCGCAGCAGCCCGAGCAATCACTACCCCAGCGCTGCCATTAGCTAACCATATGATTATTTCATAGCGAGAGGACAGGGGTGCATATCTTTAGGCGGGCTGGTGCGCTGGTGTTGCAGTTGCTTGCGCGATTTCGCGGTGCAATACGAGCGCCAGGCTGCGTTTCGCGGAGGGCAATCGAACTAATTCATTTACATAGCCAGGGAGGAGTGTGCGAAGCAGCAATTTCCACCGATAACTGTGACAATCGGTCGCACACGTATTAGCCGGATGAATTTTCGTTCGAAACGAAGGGGATAATGTGATATACTTACGGCTTTCGGCAGCCATTTTCTGTGGACAGGGTGCGGCGACGATGAGCCACGCAAGTGGAACGATTGCTTCTATGAGAAGAAATTATGCTGGCAAGGGCCATAGGGTAGTGGAGCCGGTTACTGTGCGCTGACCAATTGCTGTGCATTTCGTTTGTTTTCGGTTATAATTAACTTCATAGTTATCGAGGGAGATTTATTAAATTTCTTCATACTTTCATTCTGTTTACTTTTGAATAACAAAATTGTTGTACTCTATTATTTTGTTTACTTTTGAACAAAAATGTAATATGTCTTACACGATACATATCAATTATATTAAGAATCAAGTATATTATATTATATATTATATTATATTATATTATATTATATTATATTATATTATATTATATTACATTACATTACATTATATTATATTATATTATATTATATATTATTATATTATATATTATATATCTGAAAAATTACGGCTAATGGAAAGAATTCTCATCAAAATCTAAATCAAACAACTCTTTCGATCGTGCTCGATCGACTGAAATCATCTAAACAGATGTGTGTAGAAATAGTATTAGGTGTACACTGAAACTTGAAAATAGTGACAAATTGACACCAGGAACGCATGAGGGTTAACAATATTGTTAATTCGATGGTATTAAATGCTAATTACAATAAATATTTGAAATATTATATATCATATCATCAAGTTTAATAATGTTGTTAACTGAATATTAGGTAAATACTGAGAACATCAACAGAGAAATTAGATTCCTACTTCGGTGGAATTTGTACGAGTTTCTCTCAAGATTATACGATATTTTCTTGGTTTCACAATCTATTTAGAAATTCGGTCGTTAGGGAGCCATTGAAAAATTAACCATCGGAACGTCTGAATAAAGGGATCAACCGATTCTATTGACTGTACGGATCTTGGGCAGATCGAATCGTAGGCGGATCAACTCTCCCAACCAGAATTATTACATCCAGGAAGGACATGGTCCCCCTTCGGCTATCATTCATGTTATTATAGCCTGCGAAAGTGTACCTACGACTCGAGCGATTCTAATCCGGCCGCGCATCCCGCGTTGCATTTTATTAGCGTATTTACCCAATCCCTCGGAATAGTAACGAAAGTATCGGTATTATCGCCTGTTCGTGTTCGCCCATTGTACTCGTTGCCTCCGTCATTGAAGTGACAGAGCTTAAGCGTCTTTGCCGTTATATGTACGTATCGATGAATTATGCAACGCATCGACGAATCAGTATTCCTCTCGCGGCACCGCGTGTTTTCGCTAAGCTCGTGTATCGGTGTATTACAACCAACTAATATTGAATTTCACTTTTGGAAATCACACAAAAAAAACATATAGAAACCGCAACAATTGTTTTGCAAAAAAATATTCACAAGATAGAAACCTGAATAGAATCGAATAAAATCAGGACTGGCACAGATAAATGTTTATTTGTTAACATTTACGCCGCATGAAAAATCCATCTACGAAAATTCCAATGAAAAATCTAGAAATATCACGATCAGATATGTACGTACATACTGCTAAATATTATAATTGAACTTAATTTTAATGACAAATTGAATTTGAGAAAACAAAGAAAATTAGAACCAATAAGTTATGTATTGGCTTATAGGCGACCGGCTCAGAACTAATCGTCAAAATATGCATCAAATTCTCTCTTCTTCTAACTTTTTTATCCGAGCATATAACGAAAATTTCGCCCTTCGTCACTCGCTGCATAAGTGACTCTGCGACCAAATCGGGTAAAAAGTAGCGCGATTAAAGATTTACGATTATAATTCGTTAGTTATAACTACTTTATAACAATATACAATAACTAACGAGTTACAATAGTTAATCTCTAATCAGATTACTTGTTGCCCAATTATTATAAAGTCGTCACTTTACAACAATATACAATAACTAACGAGTTACAATAGTTAATCTCTAATCAGATTACTTGTTGCCCAATTATTATAAAGTCGTCACTTTACAACAATATACAATAACTAACGAGTTACAATAGTTAATCTCTAATCAGATTACTTGTTGCCCAATTATTATAAAGTCGTCACTTTACAACAATATACAATAACTAACGAGTTACAATAGTTAATCTCTAATCAGATTACTTGTTGCCCAATTAATATAAACTCGTTAGAATAACTAACGACTTTCAATCAATTACTTTCTTCCCAACACTTCTCTGGGAATACCGAAACAGCGAATAGCGCCTAACTTGAAGAAATTTCTGAAACATCTGCGAGTATCTCGACGTTTCCCGAGAATCTTCTCGCGTCGTGGCGGCACGGTGACAGGAAGTCAGACTGTCCTCTTAGCCGGCTCATTGATCGTCGCTTCAAACAGACGCGTTTTCAATCGCTCGTAATTAATAGGTCGTCCCGCGCACCACGCTAGGAACGTATCAATCGCGGGGGTAACGTCGGTGTCCTATTATCGTGTCCGGTAAGGGTTACGCTCTCGAAAAGTCCCCGCTGGCCTCTCTTTTCCCCGGCGCTGTTAACCGGGCCCCCGAAGAGCGGCGGGAACGCGCGTGTCGAGTTCAGTGGCGTTGGATTAGCTTCCAGCTAGTTATGATTAGAGGAGACAGTTGGCCCTCCACCACCGAACTACTCCATATTCCAATACTCATCGGCGGTAGCTGAGCGTAGCCCGGCCATGTCAGTGTTTCGGCGGGAAGGGGCGGCGATAATACGCACTGACAGGCGCGCACCCTCGACAGGCCGGTCGCTCAGGGGGCAGCCAGTGAAAGGAAGGGTGGAAGGGTGCCGCACGAGAGAAGAAAAACATATACAACAACCCGATAGAATGAGCATCGCATGCGCCGACGCTTCTACCACCCCGCTTCTCTCTGTTCCGCTCGCGAGCGAGCGAGATCGCGAGCGCGCGCGCGAGAACGCTCGGAGAATTACCCACTGATGTTATAATCCTCTCGTGTTACGCCGTCGCACATGCTGTCCTGTAAGCAATACATTGTTGTTTTTTCGCTTGCTCCCCGCCGGCCCCCTCTGCCGTTTTATGACGCCGGGATCTATCGGTACCCATATGCACACTTCGCTGCCAAGGACCAGACACCGTCTATCCGACGTGCACCGACTGGAACAAGCGAGTCAAGTCTTTGTTCCGTCGGGGGACAGCGCGAATTGACGAGCGATTGATGCCGACGTCGCGCAGTGGTACTTTTTCTCGAAAAGTTCAGCTTCGAAAAGCTGCCGCGCTGCGTACGTTAGTAGTACAGGTGTCACGGCTATAAGTCACGTTAATGTTTATCCTTGAATTTATTTTAGCATTAACCCTTAAATGCACCGTGTTGCCATTTGGCAACATACAGAAGAATATTTTGTTTTGTAGCCGATTGGCTATATACGATAATTTTGTAATAAAAAACTATTTTCCTAAAGATATAATTTTTTTCTTCGCTTTTTTCCCTTAATACACACTCATTTTTTAAATGAAGTTTGATAAGTAGAAATTGAAAACAAAAAGTCATGCATTTAAAGGTTAAAGTATATGTTAGAATGATGAACATTGCGCAGAAGCAACGTAAAGTAGAGTAATGTCTCTCTAACTGACGCTCAGATTGCGCATAAAAATGGATAATTATGGAAGAGGAGATACGATTATTCGAGCCTTGTAGCTCGTTTTTTTTATAGTTGTTGACAATTCGTAACGACAAAAACGAACCGCAAGGTTCGAATAATCGTATCACCTCTTCCCAAATTGTTCGTTTTTGTGGGCAATCTGAGCGTCAATTAGACGATTACTGCAATTTTCATTCGAGTCTCGTGATTCCCTCCTCGATAGAGTAAATTCTTCCTAATTGACGCTTACGTCGATTTGCAAGCGTTAATTGTGATTCAGCTATTTTCTTTACAATTTATTTTCAAAGAGATGAGTGCGCGTACTGATAATTTATAAATATGAAACTAAAATTAAATTAAATCTAAAATATTTCTGTTTTTGTTTAATATATCAATGCAAACTTGGTTACTATTTCATTTGTAGTAGAACAAATTGTTCAAGTAATGCTAATATTAAATAAAACTTGGAAAATGTCGTAATTGAACTTATCGTGAACAAAATCTTCAAACTGTTTCATTTCCATTTCAATATTCTTTATTTTCTAATAATACCGTGATAACTGTAATGACTCAATTTTAAATAGAAAAAGAGGCAATAGAGTTTGTGAATATCATAATCATATTTTTGTTAACAATCGAAAGTAATTTATATATATGGTTTTTAAACATTTAAATATGCGGCGGGCGAGGCTCGTCATTTCCACTTAATTTTAATTTTTAATTTTAATTCCACTTTAATCGAAGTAACGTATGTCATCTTTTTACATTCTAGAACTTGGAAATCATTTATGTTACAGATATCTAGTAGCAGGTGGCTTGATCGATCGAGTTTCGCGTCACAGTCGTGCCCTGGTCGAAACCGATTTCTTCGTGGATCAAGATCACGAGTCGCCGCTGGTAATATCCTCCTACGATCTCATCTTCAGGATGTGTTGCCACTTGAAGAAGTCAACGGATCAGGACGCTGGTAGCGTACCTGAGAATAACAACAACAACAACAACAACAGCAACGTAGAACAAACGAGCGTCGAGTCGCATCTACTTTCGACTCTATCCTCGACCGAAGTTGCAGGCGCAATCGGTGCACTTTACGCCGCCGTTGCACTGATCCCGCAGAACCAGAAAGGATCCTCGCCGACCCCTAATCAAACTACGATGACGCAGTCGACAAGGATTTTAGTTGTACGCTGCATCAGGCTACTGAAGTCGATCGCGGAATTGAATCTTCAGAGATTGCAGGTAAAGTTATACAATTTCGCACGCAATCTAATAAATGCTAATATTATTCTAGTTGATAATATAATATAACTAATTATATTATATTATTATAATATTATTATAATTATATTATATTATATTATTATAATATTATCATAATTATATTATATTATATTATATTATTATAATATTATTATAATTATATTATATTATATTATTATAATATTATCATAATTATATTATATTATATTATATTATTATAATATTATTATAATTATATTATATTATATTATATTATTATAATATTATTATAATTATATTATATTATTATAATATTATTATAATTATATTATATTACTATATATAACTATATAATATAACTAATAATATAACTGGTTGACAATATTAACATTTGCATGCCGCGCGGTTTTATGAAGAACTTTCATGGGGAGCCAGCGATTATTCCTGGATTAAATTGCTATTTCACAAATAAACGGAGTTATTATTAAATTATAGTTTGTAAATCAGCGATCCATTGTCAGGCACTGAAAGTATTCGTAATGTTAAATAAAAATACATGAAACTGACGGAAGATTAAAGAAATCAAGGTAAACTGCGATTTCGCACTCGTTCACAGTCGAATCGAAAATAACTAGTAGCTTGTACCACTGGTACCGAAAGGCGCATGATCAGTGTATTCAGGAAATGTCGCTACGCAAGGAGTGGGGTGGCGACGCATGCGCACAGAGTCCCGCACAGCGGCGCGGCACGTCTTTTCCACTTAATGGCCATGAAATGGTCAGGGCATTTCAAGTAACAGCAAAATTTGAAAAGAGAAAGCGTTTTAGTCATTGTCTAGTAGACTAATCTCTCTCTCTCGCTCTCTCTCTCTCTCTCGTCTAAAAAAAAATGCAAATCGTTTAGTCCGATTCTGAAAAAAGGCATTGTGTTTTAAAAGGCGTTCGAACACTTTCGCGTTAGGCTGCGTTATCGAAGGTTTATAAAGTCGTCGAATGGCAGCCTGTTCGATTGAAAGAAAAAAAATTATACTCAAAGCGACCACGAATGGTTCCCGTCATTAGATCGAGCACCGTAGAAAGTGCAATGGAGACATCACGTGCCCTAGGGGGCTCGCCTGTCAGGACCGAAAGCCCTCCCGTGAAGTCTGCAATGATCAAACCACGAATTGAATCGAAACCTCGCGCCCCCATCTATAAAAACTATAAGGGCTATCCTGTGTCCCGTAGGAGAGCCTGGCGAGTCCCATGGGACTGCACCCCGATTATCCTAGCGAACACAGCAGCCGCCGTTTGCTTCGAAACCAACGTTTATTATCTATTCTCTTTGACTTACTGGAACGGCATGCTAACTGGTACCGAGCTGCACGGTCGATTCTACAAAAAACCTGTCTTCCATTCGGTCCTCGGAACAATGATTGCGGTTTTGAGTCATCACGTTCGACGCAGCCTTCACTTTGGCCAAGAATGTATAAGCTCGAACAATTCAATTGTAAGACCGAACGCTTTTTAAACAGGCTTTCACTCCTATGGCGACTCGTTCGTATTGCTTACGAAGCTTGAACTGTCTTTCATCGAACGCAAGGCTCGAATGAAATTGTTAAAATTTTCAATTGGTTCTGACGCGAGTGCTTTTTTGATTTTTAACTGTTCTGTTCTGAGAAGACAGTAATAAATTCGTTGAAGCTTAGATTAAATATACAGGGTGGTCCACCTAAATATCTCCTCCAATTGTGGGAGGTACAAAAAAATTATTTTATATGCTATTTGAATAGTTTGAAAAAATCGTTGTATTGCAAAAAATATCTTTTTCCGGTATTTCCATTTTATATGCATTTTATACGTATGAAATTGAATTTGGCGACACGTGCAACAGTTACGCTTTGAACATATAAATGTTTTTGTTTAATATAAACAAATTTGATAACGTTGAAATTATTTTGAAACGTGATATAACAATTTTGAATGGCGCTGAAACTTAGATTCCATATACAGGGTGGTCCACCTAAATATCTCTAATTGTGGGAGGTACAAAAAAAATGTTATGTGTTATTTGAATAGTGTGAAAAAATCGTTGTGTTGCAAAAAATATTTTTTTCCGGTATTTCCATTTTATATAACTTAGTGCATTTTATACGTATGAAATTGAATTTGGCGACACGTGCAACAGTTACGCTTTGAACATATAAATGTTTTTGTTTAATATAAACAAATTTGATAACGTTGAAATTATTTTGAAACGTGATATAACAATGATACCGATATAATTTTGAATGGCGCCTTAGAGTGACCACTCGAGCACAAAGAGTTGATTGAATCGTGCAGAGATCGCTGTTCTTTAATAGACCTGTCGCCTTTCCCTACAATGTTTCGTAATCGAATTTGGTGAAAATAGCAGATTTCAAAGCGAAAAGAAGCACCTTGAAATATTCAAAACGTGAAATGTGATTCGCAAAGTCGTTGAACATATCCCGATGATACTTTTACCTGAGAAAATGAATGTTTAATGTTCGCGTTTCAGTAGCACTTCTGAAAATCCAAATCTTCTAATTTCAGAATCTGTTGGGAGCGGAGGGCACCAGCTTGCAATGGCGACTGATAGCTAGTCATGTGATAACCAGATTATCACGAGATCCAATATCGCACAAGCCAGAAATTGGATGTGCGCAGAACACTAGTGGTACTTACATCCTGTCAGAACTGTTCCAGGTCCTCGGCTATTTTGCAGTTAACAACCCGGAGAATCAGGTAAGCGCAACCATCGTTTTATTTATTAATTGTCTATAAAAAAAAAAAAAAAATTTAGCCACAAAACGTAAATATAATTTGCGGAAACGCGATAAAAATGTTAATTTATCGTTTCGATAGAAGTCATCGTAATTTCGCAACCAATTTAATATCGTGTCATATGAAATGGCATAATGCAGCGAACAGGATGGATCTCGGCCAAATTGTTACTTATAGCGTTGCTTTTGAATATTTACGCGACGATGCTTGATAAAGTCTCATTTCAGCTGTTGTGTTGAAGTAGTTACCGATTCGGTTTCTGCAGTTTCAGCAAACATAGTTAATTTAAATGTTCGTATTAATCTTTCCTTTATTTCATTTGTAAGAAACTGGATATCCGAACATAAAATCTTCAGGTTTGTATAATTTCTGGGTACAATATTTTTGGATTTTTGGTCTTGGTAGCAAGTTATTAATTTATTACGAAAAAAGTATTGCTTTAAAAAGAAAAAAAATCTGGTTATAAATTGAAAATGAATTAGTTTAGGAGTTCTTAATTTTGTTCCGAAGTTCCCTGTAGGATCGGACATCTTCTTCGGTCTTCGTGACTATTTTGATGAATATTTTCATTTCGAACAAATTCGAGCGAATAAAACCGATTTTATGTGATCAGAAATAGTCCAGAAAATATAGTATAGTATAGTCCATATAGTATAGTATAGTCCATATAGTATAGTATAGTCCATATAGTAGTATAGTATAGTCCATAGTATTATAGTATAGTCCATATAGTAGTATAGTATAGTCCATAGTATTATAGTATAGTCCATAATCCATTAGATTATAGTATAGTCCATATAGTAGCATAGCACCAAATATAGTATAGTCCAAAAAATAGTCCAGGAAAGTATCTTTTGGCATTTTCTTTGAAAACTCTCTGTAAATATAATAAACATTTTAGAGGAAAAATTGTAAAAACATATTATCATACTCGTAATATAATTTACTCATTTTAAAGGTTCTACGATATTGAATTCAACTTATAATAACCAGATTAAAATAACAAAATACTTTGCCAATGGCATTTAATAGAAGAAATGCATCGATTTCTTGCATTAAACTTCAAGCTTAAATTTCAACTACGAGTTGTTATACTGAGCGAAAACTGGGCGTAGTTAATCTAGTATTTCATTTATTACTCTTTATTATACTGAAAAATTATAACTAAAATTATACTGAATTTTCTTATAATATCTTCATCCGTGCCTGCGACACATCGTGATAGCCCCGAATGGGAACACCTAAAGATTCGTCCACGGATATATTGTTATAATTTTGACAACTGCGAGTGGCTGCAAAAAATTCTTGTTTACTCTATTTCCAAAGCTTTTAGTCAGAAAGTTTATAGCGCTTATTGGAAATCCGCGCGTATGCTCATTAGTTCATACATTTCAGAATCCGTGAGCGAAAATTCATCGATTTTCATGGAGGTTGAAAATCTCACTTTAAGTCCGGGTTTTTGGAGTCGTAAACCACTGTGCGTCGCGCGTCGCGTCGCGGCGGAGCGGTTCCCGAAATCAATGCCTGGTCCGCGCTCGTCCTTCTTCGGCCGGCCACTAAAAACACCGTTCGGTTACGGTTACACGCATAAATCGAGCGAGTTACAAGCCGGTCCACCCCCGCCGAGCCCCGCCGGTCCCGTACAATTCACCGGTTGAATCAGCGCAGCGTCGGCAGTTGCAGGTTAAAAGCGTTTTTCCTCCAGTTTCCCCGGGCCAGTATCGGATGCACTTTGGGGGCAGCGGCGGCGGTAACAGCAACAGCAGTGGTAGCTGCAGCGGGCCTCCTTAAAAAAGCCGACGAAAGACGAATGCGCGACGTCGCCGGTGCACTCAGCGCTACATATCCCGATGCAAGCGCCGGGATTGATGCACCCTTCTCGCCGCGAGCGTCGTGTGCGTGCACAGGGCTGACGTATGGAATGGAACCGAGTAAATATATCTTAACTGCATTCGGCCGTATATTGATGGGAGGTCCGCTGAGTGTGTTGTGTCTAACAGTTTCTTCTTCCTTCTTCGCCGCGTGCTGCCGCCTGCATCTCGCGCGAATATACCGGGTGTCGTCGATTGATAGATTGCTCGACGGACGCGGCGCACAATACGTATAGTATTTCGCTCAATGGATAAAAGTCAGCAATTCGATGTGTCGGATTGCAGAATTTTCAGAAAGCTACGAAATATTAGAATATCGAGTTATGGGGAGAACTGATCTGTTCAATTTGCGAACTTTTAATAATTGTGTCTTTTTTTTACTAACGAGAAAGATGTACAGGGTTATCTAAAATAGACTAGAGGAAGTTTTTTTCTTTTTTAATGAAAGATAAATTATTTTGAATTTTATTGGTTTCTTTTATTTAACTATCATGTATCATATTTGACAATTATGTGTGAAACATGATATCTGTCAAATGAACCACCAGGACCACGTTTATCGATATCAATTCGAATATCAAAATTTTCGATGACGTTTTGGCATATTTGCTCGTTTAGTTCTCCAATTTGATTTTTAATATAGTTTTTTAGGTCATGAATTGTCGCTGGTTTGTTGGCATTAACTTTGCTTTTCAAATAAGCCCAAAGAAAAAAGTCTAATAGGGTCAAATCACACAAACCTGGTGGCCAATTCACATCACCATTTCTTGAAATTAATCGACCATTGAATTTCGATCGCAACCATAAGAACGAGCCACGAGCCATTTTTGTTTACAAGCTGAACGAAAATTAGGGAGAATTTACTATATTGGATTAACCAATAAATCATTGCGTTTTTTTTCTCTCCGTAAATGAAAGGCAAATTTTCTATGAAAATAAAACCTTTAATCAATGATGTATTTTCCATTTTATTCGATTACATTTTGCCATTTTTCAGGCAACTTCGTGACATCGTTGTCAACAGTAAACGCGTTGTTCACCATTTAACGCGTTTTGTACAGAACGAAATAAATGGTAATCGCATGGTGCCAGGTCTGATGAATATGGTGGATGTGGTAACAAATCCCATCTAAACTGTATCAATTTTTGATGAGTGATCAAACTTGTGCACGACCTACCGTCATCTTGACGGTAAAACGTCTTCACTGTACGCGTCGCATAACTTTTGATGTGCTTGCAAAGCATGTTTTCCTTTTCGGAAGTAATAGAGCAAAATATGTCATATCGAGATCAATGCTAACTGAACAATCTTAAACAAAATTGCGAAAGACTTTTTTAAAACCAAGTTTAAACCATAATCTTGATAGATATACAGCGAATTTACGGTTTGAAATGAGATTAGTTACATTGCAAAAGCTGTGTTGGGGAAAAACGCAGTGACTTATTGGCCAACCTAATATTTAATTACGTAATATCCATATGTAACTGCTATTTCAAAACAAGTTGCCAAATTCTGTATTACATGGGAAGATAAAAATATTTATATTCTATTTACTATTTCAAAAAAATCTATTCTTCTATCTATTCCGGGGGCGCGCAACTTTGCGTGAAATATTAGGGGGACCGGAAAGTTATGCCGTTTGTTTACATTAAATTCAAACAGATAAATAGGCGCAGAAACGACATTACTTTCCGGCCCCCCTAATATTTACGAATCGAGGATGATCGATAAAAGTTTCGTCAAACATTGTCAATAGTAGGGCATTTAAGCGAAATCGGCTACTTCTCCGCGACTGTTGAACCACTTTGCCGAAGTTTCTACAGGATCGTTCCGAAATCGTGGTTCAATCTTCAGCGTTTCATTAAATGTGCAGACTGCTTGAAAGTTTTACTCGGGACAGTGCCATGGCTAATCGTTTCCTCACCAAATTCCTCGCGAATATTCTCGCAGCCGGTGCAATTTATTTCTGCCTATTTCAGTAGCTCCAGTCGCGCTTTATCGCCGAGTTTACGGACACACGACAAACAGGCATGTGTAACATTCAAGACTGTTTCGGACAGTTTTATTCGCTGTTCATTATACAAACGATACCGAAACTCCCCGGACGGCATCGAGTCAACGCGGTTGTTTGCGAAGTAATAACTTTATTTTTGAACGGGGACTAAGCTTGATTGCAGTCATTGTTCCGACACGAGGACTTAAGTGGGTATTCCCGTGTAAATTGCGTTTTTGTTTCACCATTTCGGGATTTTTTTGCGAACAAATCATATACACATTTTGCGTGTCACGTTTAGGAAGTTTATTCGATGCATGTTTCAATGACATTTAACAAATTTTTGGATTAGAAAAATTGGATTAGAGATTGGTGACAATTGTTACTTCGAAACGTAGTCGAATTTGGCTATAGCGGGTATTAGAAGAAAAGAAATAGGTCGATTATTATTATTATTAAAAAGATGGCGACATTTTGAAATTTCATCATCGATTTTTTTCTATTCATTTTTCAATATTGGAAGACTGAGAAACGTAAGCCGAATGTGTACTTTTATTTTGAAGACAATTGGTTAAATAGATTTTCAGGTTTTATGGCCACGGTTTTGAGAAACAAACATTCGAGAAGAACACATTTATGGATATAATTTGTATAGTTTTTTGTACCAATACTGTAACTTTCTTCATTTTATGAATTCGGATAGAAGGTTTTGTGGACGCATTTTTGAACAAATATTCTTGAAGAAGATGTAAAAAGGATCGATTTTTCAAAGATTTACACTAGAATATTTCCTTAAGTTTATCGATAGAATGCGGATATTTATGCAACATAAAAACTGTCCGAATCAATTGCAAGGAATAGAAACCAAGTAGCAACTTCATGCTTCCCTTAATCATCTTGATGAGTTAAAAATAATACATTGTCGTTCTAAAATGCTTTTAATTTTTACAATATTTGATATTGTAACTAACCAATTTTGTCGTAAATGTATAAAATCCGCGGTCTAGTCACACAGAGAAATTCTGCGATTTCTATTTTCTGATGCTTGAAAGCAGAAATATAAATAGCATTTTAAATATTGATAATATAGAAAGAT